GGAGACAAGAAATATTTTACACTATACAACAAAAAAAATCAACATTTATCAATGACATTATTCATATTATTTCTTCACCCAATGATTGATTTATTATTTATGGACAACTTATCATTCTTATGATGAGGTATATGAAGTAATTCAAGAAATATTAATGTTGGAAAATATCATGGAGATGTACAATCAGATAAGCAAGAAGAAGTTTTGATTAACTTTAAAAAAAGGAATTTTACAAGGTGTTATAGCAACTCCTGGTTTTGGCATGGGAATAAATATTATAGATATTCATAAAGTGATTCATTTAGCATTTCCTTTAAGCATAGGTATAAACTTTATTGTTCATGAAAAATTAAATGTCAGTTTTTTAAAAGTCATTGAAAAATTTTTTTTATTAACAATTAATTAGGGAATTACATACAAGAAAGTGGAAGGGTTGCAAGAGATGGAAACCCAGGCCAAAATATTGTATTTTTTTCTTGTTCAGACTTACACACATTATTTTCAGTAATAGCAGGTGGAAAAGAAAGGTGTAAAATCATATATTTATGTTGCAGGAAAAAATTCATTATTTATTATTTATATTCTCCAATATTTATTAATTTAGTGTCTTCAGAATCAAATAGTGAATTCATAACTGAGAAAAATCATAAATTATTAGATATGATTTTTTTTTGTGAAAATCAGTATATCTGTCATCAAATCTTATTATCAAAATATTATTCACAAGGTCAATCAGTAAATAACACCTTTTGTAACAATTGTGACAATTGTACTCGTAGACAAAAGGACAATCCAATTCAATTTGATGTAGAGGAGGATGCCCTGCTAATGGTAAAAATTGTGAGTGTCCTTGTAAATGAAGTATCTGAATTGACACACACTGATATTGGATATGTTTATACTTCAGCCAATAATAGAGAAGTACATGCTAAAAAAACTTTCAAAAACATCTGTTTACAATAATAAGTCACTTCATCCAGCAAAATATATAAAAAAGCAATCACAGGCTCTTTTTTTGTTAGATGATTTGATTATTCGTGGTATTGTAACTTATAATATTATTTCAAAATTATCAAAAACTAAAAATTTTATTAGTGGAAAACATCATCTTTCTCATAACATGTTTATTAATGGTATATGTGAAGGTGCAGAAAATAAAGTAAAAGAAGGGAATTGGAAATATTTTTTAAAATAGTAATAGATAAATTTACTAATAAAAATGTGATAAATAAAAAATGATCGTCAATTTGTTTTGAAATATCAACAACACATTTTTGGAAAAGGCTCGATTTTAATCAAGTGGTTTCTTTTTCGTACGTATTTTTTTTTTACTTATTATAAATACAACCTCTGAACGTTTTAAAAAAATTTGGGAGAGTGATCATGATCATAACCATGATCAAAAGATTTATACAACGCAATCAATTTTGAGAAATGAAAATTTTCCTTTTCTTTCGAAAATTAAAGAGAGATACCAAAATATTGCCAATCTCTTCTAAATTGTTACAAAGTATGTTGCACTGATTTGGTTGAGTTGTATTCTTTCGTTAATTGGGCAGAATTGTCGATACATTTTCGTGCAACTTATTTATAATTCTAGATATATCCATAATTTAATTTGTTCAAGAGAAGGAATATATTTTCGGCATGCATCTGAAGATCTTTGAGCATATATCGTCAGGTGAAAAAATTTTTTTTTCTTTATTACCCAGAAACATTTCTTTCAATCTTTCAATAACTTTTAAAAATCAAGTCTTTTACTATCCCTTTTCCAATTTTTGAATAAAATATTATACTGAAAATTTTGTGTTACAAGACGAACATGAAAATCAAATTAACCAATTGCGACCTATATCTGTTACAATTATGTATTTTTTTAAACTTAACATTATTTAACATTTAACAAAGGAAAAGAATGACTTCAACATCTTCGACATCTGTTCAATTTACTGTGGGAAAACTTGATGCTGGAATGGTAAAGTATAAGTAAAAAAATTATGTATAAGTTATAACACCACAAATAAATAATTAAATAAATTATTAAATGTAGGCAATCTTGTTGACAGAGGATCATCACCTCATCGAGTTTCCCTCGCTTCTACTTCCACCTGGCGTTTCTTCAGGTAGTATTGTGAACGTTAGTGTCAATCGTAATTACGAGCAAGAAGCAGCTCAGAGTCGAGAGTTTTGGTTACTCCAAGAAGCTATATTAAAAGAGTTTGGACAAAATCCACCAGAATCGAATAAAACTAGATAATGATAATTCACCTATTAAAAAGTTCTTCGGCAAAATTCAATCGTATTGTCAGCTTTTATAATGATAAGAAAAAACTAATAATTGTCAATTTTAAACTATCTTTCAATATATTTTTCTAATTAAAATTTATATTTTTATTTAAACTTTGGAAATTTATAATAATAAAAATTACTTTAATATCATTATGATTAATTCAGGCAATTTATTTATTTACCTGTTAGTAATTTAGTTGGGATCAATTTGTTTATTATCTGGTGTGATGGTGATTCTATTAGTTCTATCGAGAATAATTCTGGATCAATATTATTAATCCATACGTCATTCAACAACTTTAATCAGGGCCATCTGCAAAAATAAAATTACTACTTCACGAAACTTAACAAGTGAAACATATAATAAACAGTCAGCAATTTGTTAAATCTCCCTGACCAGGAAAGATCCATTGGATCTTTTTGATATTGAGAGTGTTGAAGTGTTTTGAATGTCCAGTATAAATTGACTGGTATAGATTGTTGGTGCGAGTGTATAAGTTTTTGAGTTAAAATGGAATGAGAAGCTGAGAATAGCCTGGAATACACCAGCAATAGCAGTTGAATGAAGGTTCCTGAGGCTTTATAGTGTGGCCACCACACTCGAATGAAATGCACGATACACTCAAATAGCACCACGTACTTTGACACTAATGATCTTGCCATTGATAATTGTATGGGATCGTGCAAGTCTAGTCTATACACAAGTCTGCGAGGAACGATATTCATTAGTTATTCCAACTGTGCAATACTGCTTCTTTCTCTGAGAATTAACTCCTGTACCAGCTGTTCCAGTTAGCATAACTGGCAGGATAAATGAATGTGATTTTGAACACTCAAGGTGATGAGAATATGAAAATTTGGGAGAGCAAGTTTGATACATTTGGTGCAGTAATAAATAAGCATTAATAGTTGGATTTTCCAATGACCATCTGAGTTCACCGCCAGTGAATATGGTAATCGGCATAACCACATTCTCGCATGATTTACGGCGATGTAAATGCTTGCTTCCTTTAATTTTTGATTACATTTGTAACAGCAGTTACTCTCCATTGAATATGGTTTGCTCAAGAGTTGTCTCGTTCTAGATGATTGTCTAAACCCCTCCTCAATTATTCAGTTCCAATATTGGTGGCACTATGAATCTAGTCTCCTCCATTAGACAATTTAGTAATGCGAAAATACATTTGAAATAAAAAGTTAATATTAGTAATCTTCATTTAAATCAAATATACAATGGATTTTATTAATAATTTTGCCAGTTCCATATCGATAAAGAATCAATTTAGGCTCATCATCAATGTTTGACATTCACAATAATACTGTATGAAAAACCAAAAATTGACGCAACCAATGGATTGATGATTTCCTGAATTCACTAGCTTCATTGCCATACAAAGGGCTTCTTTTCCTCCCCAATTCTATTGACTCTGACTTTGACTTTTAACGTTAAGTTATAATCAAACAACAATATAAAATATTATCACGGGTTTTTTTGTTTTCAATATTACTTAGTTAAAAAGACAAATAATACATAATTGTAAAAAAATATTTAACTATATTTTTATAAGTTGTCTGACATCTGAAGATAATCTAGTATTGTATTTTGGCAGACTATTTTCATTTTATAACCATAAACTAAGACAGTCCCATAATTTTTTAATTCACATAGTACTGTATTAAATTGTGAGTTTAAATATCTTTTACAAAGCTGATGAGATATAAAAGTTTATCTTGGTATTCTTCACATTTCTCTACATCAGTCAATTAACAGTTTTTACAAAAGTAAGCATACTCTCCAAAAGTATAAAGGTGACAATGATGTGTTGAAGGAATCAATTTTATACGAGCTCATAGTAACATTATTTCCATCACTTAAAAAGTATCAAGATCTCTTAATTGATCAACAGGAAAGAAAACCTTCTCTTTTTACCTTGACTCAATCTTCTAAAATCTGTGCTCCCTTTCCATATAAACATGCACGAATTCTAGCAGCATTTATTAACCTTGAGCTGTTCACTTAATTTCAGGCATGTAAAATCATCGACAAAATTCTTTGACCTTTATGCCTTTTATATTAGTATTTATTAATCTTCAAAGAATGACCAAAAAGATTTTGCTTCCAAATCCAGAACTAGATCTTTATTTAATTCTCGATTAATTTGATTCTATAGCAGTATATCATGCACTTCTAGTCTGTCAAATTTTGCTACCATACAAAGTATTTGAGAAATAGTTTTTGGAATGCAGTATCAATAGTAATAAAATATCTGGGAAATGAAACAGATACTCTCATAAATGCTGAAGATTTACAGGTAGCTATGGTCATTCTTTTATAAAAAAGTGCTAATTTTAGATTCCTGGATATTATCACTAGATGTTGATAGATGTGATACATCATCTGTGAATAAAATGATAAAAAGTAAATATTTGTTTGATCTTTTATTTTTGGAAATTTTTTATATTTCATTTTTTTTGTTACAAAGGAGACAGTTTTGTAATACTGTAGAAATTGATTGAGATCAAATAAAGATATATAGATCAAAAATCGAGAGTGAATATATAAATAATTAACCAAAATATCCAAGTTTTCTCTTTTCTTAGAATAGTTGGTCGATATATATAAAATATACACAAACTTTTCAATAATCTTGTAATTCAAAGATGTATGATGCATTTAAAATATCTGTTGCATTAGACAAATTAAATATTAAAATAGAGTCACTTTATGCTTACGGTATATTATATAAATTAATAGAACGTTAATGAATTTTTTTTATCTAGATCAATTTAAATTCTTTAATTTGCATTATATTAGATCAAAAGTTGTTTATCGGGACTTCTACGGGTTCATTATTTGTATATGAAGTCAAGGAATCTTTAGGTATTTTAATACTTATAAGTTATATACACATATATACTTTAACAATGTTATTTTATATTCCAATTGATTTTTTTCTTGCAACACAGACGAAGAAAAACCTTTATCTGTCAATTTAATTGAAACTCGCAAAAACTTTTCAAAAAGATCAATTGAACAGTTAAATGTGATAAAAGAGATTGATGTATTGGTTGCACTTTCAGGTTTTTTACACAATAAAAACTTTTAAAGAATTTATTATGATTTTAATGTTGGAAAGTGGTCTTAACATATAATTTGACTCTTAGTTTATTATTATAAATATAAATACATTTATAAATATATTTTCTCAAAGATTCCTGTATCAGTATCTATGATTTACACACATTATCATTGCAAAAGCAATTAGCTAAAACACGTGGTGCTAATTTATTTGCAATCGATACTATTGAAGTAAGTCCGGATGATGATGATAATGGAATTCCAACAATAGTGACTCGTCTTTCCGTTGCTGTAAAAAAGAAGTTACTTATTTTCACTTGGAAAGATACCGAATTTGTTGATAATAAAGTATTTATAGTTATATATATATATATGTTTAATCATAATTATTTATAATCAGGATTCTTTAAAAATATATTATGTTATTCTAGGAAATATCAATACCTGATAGAATACGGACAATGGTTTCGGTCAGTTCTACAACATTTTGTCTTGGTTTAGCTAATGAATATGCCTTGTTGGATATTAGTTCTGGTGTTTTGAGGGAGCTTTTTTCCCCATCAAGTACACCTATTAATGCTGGTTTCAGTTATATGGTAGTATCATTCAGCGCAAAAGTTAGTAAACCATTAATAACAAAATTACCAAACGATGAAATTCTTTTGGCTAAAGACAGTGGGTATTAAATTTATTATTACTGTTATAATTTTTATTTTGGGAGATGACAGGTGATTTATTTGTTGAGTTGTAAAAAAAAATTCAATTTAGATGTAAGTATTTTTGTTGGACTTGATGGTACACCTACTCGTAAGGTTGGAATTGATTGGTCAGGGACACCAGAAGAAATAGGTTTGAAAGCTTCAAATAATCTATTTACACAAGCATATTAATATATTTAATATTAATTGAAATTGTTATTTTAGGATATTCTTATCCTTATCTTGTAGCAATACTTCCAAAACACGTTGAAATCAGGAACATAGTTACTCAATCATTAGTACAAACAATAGAATTGCCACAACCACGACTTATTAATCGAGGAGAATCTTTATGTATTGCTAATAATAATACTGTTTGGAGATTTATTCCTATAAATTTTGAAAATCAAGTATTATTAATTTACTTTCTGTAAGTTTTTTTTTGACGAGTTTTTTGAATAATTTATATATAGATATATATATATTCAATTATTATATTAGATTGATCAATTAGTTGAAAAGCATGAATATCAAGAGGCAATAAGTTTGACTGAGCAAATCGAACCTCTTCATCTTGAAAATAAGGTAAAAAAAATCAAGATCAATATTATCTTTTTATTATCTTTCTTTTAAAATCAATTAAAAAATTGTTATTGTTTTTGTTTTTTTTTTTTGTAGGATGCAAAACTTTATCAAATACGTGATCTTTATGCACATCATCTTTTTCAACTCAAGAATTTTGATGCTGCAATGACTATTTTTCAAGATTTGGAAACTAATCCTGCAGAAGTTATTGCTTTGTACTCATCATTTACATCAAATTTCCTTCATCATAAATCGGAAGAGGATGATGATGAAAACAAATTTAATGAAAAAAATAATATAACACCACAAACAGAAGATGAAAATGATCCGATAGATAAAAGTGTTTTAAATGGAACTGAAGAAAATAAAATTTTAGGTTTATGTTATTTTATTAGAAAATTTATTCTTCTTAAAATATATGATTTGTAATTAATATTTTCGTCATCTTTTTTAAATTTCTTGACATTAGAAGGAAAGGAATTAAAAAATGCTATTTCAGCATTAATAAGATTTTTGACTGATCGGCGGCAAAGGATTTCCAAAATATTACATCATCAACAGGCTCATAAACCAAATGATGAAAAACCACTCGATTCACAATCGTTTGATAGAACTAATTTAACAAATGGAAATTTAGATCGCATATTGGAACTTGCAGAGATAGTAGATACTGCTCTTTTAAAAGCCTATATGATGACCAATGATGCATTAGTTGGACCATTACTTCGTGTACATAATCATGTAAATGTTGAAGAAACTGAAGGAATTTTACTTGAACGAAAGGTATTAAAAAAACTAAATTTTATTATGCTTATTACGATTTGAACACTTGCAACAAAAAAAAATTTTTTAAATTGTTTATTATATAATAGAAATATAAAGAATTAGTTGACTTATATCATGGAAAAGGCCAACATCGAAAATCTTTAGAATTGTTAAAGAAGTAAGTATGCTGTTAGATAAATAAATAAATAAGTTTTTATTTAAAATATTTAATCATTGGTTATATATTAATCATATAGACTTGGTCAATCATCTGAAGGATCTATGAAAGGAGTATTCCATACTATAATGTATCTTCAACGTTTAAGTATTGAACATTTTGAATTGATATTGGAATTTGCTACATGGGTGTTGGAGAATGATCCTGAAAGTGGAATGGATGTATGATTTAATATTTACCTTTTCATTACAAGTTATAGATGATTTATGTTGCAAGAAAATAATCTATGTATATTTTTTTTTTATTTTTTTATTTTTTTTTAGATTTTTATCGATGATCTTCCCGGTGTTCAAAATTTACCAAGAGATCAAGTCTTGAAATATTTAGAAAATTTCTCAAATGATCTTTGCATAAAATATTTACGACATATTATTTATGAACTTGGTGAGACAGCTTCTGATTATCATAATCAATTGGTAATGATCTATTTGAAAAAGATTTTGGAGTTGAGAAATCAAGATCAAGAATTTAAAAACGATGAGAATCAAGCAGGTATTATTCAACAATACATATATTTATATTATAATTAGCACATATATATGTGTATATATTAAATCAATTTATTAAATAGATATAAATTTAGAAGCAATAAATGTAACTAATAATCACCTATTAAAGTTTTTGGATGAATCAATATATTATAAGGCGGAAAAAATTTTAGGACGATTGCCTTTAAATGGTATAATTATATATATATTATATTAATATAATATAATATTATTAATAATATTACTATTTAATAGATTTTTATGATGCTCGTGCGATTGTATTGAGTAGACTTGGGCAACATGATCAAGCATTGAGTATCTATGTGCACAAACTAAAAAATGAACAATTGGCTGAAGAGTATGTTTTCAAAAAAAAAAATATACATAGTTTTTTTTTTGAAACAAAGTTTATCAATAGAATTAATAATTAAAAACTATATATATATATATATATATTGTACAGGTATTGTGTTAAAAATTATAAAGTAACTGATGATGGTACAAAAAATGTTTTTATGTCATTGCTGAGAGTATATTTACATCCAAGTAAAGGAGAGCAGGTTATGATAGAACCAGCTTTAAGGTTACTGTCACGTTATGGATCACATGTGAATGCAATTGAGGTAAAGATTCAAGAAATGTGATTTTTTAATTAGTAATTATAATAATTATAATTTTTATTGTTTACATTGATACAAGACATTGAATATGCTTCCAGCTTCAACAAAAGTTTCCGAGTTGTATTCATTTTTTGAGAAATACATTAGAGAAAGTCATCGAAACAAAAGTATGAATATGATTGTTAAAAATTTGTTAAAAGCTGATCAAAAACAGGTACATTAGGAATATAGGAATGTGACCCTTATTGCTTTAATTTAATTTACTATGACTCTTAAATATTATTAGGCTGAAGAACAATTGGTGTATTATCGATCTCGAAGAATCAAAATTGATGAAGATCGAATGTGCCCTCAATGTACAAGACGTATTGGAAATAGGTATTTCATATATTATTGATTAATTAAAAAAGTAATAATATAATTGAATATTAATCGATTTTTTAGTGTATTTGCTGTTTTCCCAAATAATGTGGTTGTACATTATAATTGTAAAGAAAAGGTAATATACAAATAATTAAATTAAATATTATTTTGATTATGAACTATGACATTTATTAATCTATTTTATTTATTTCTTCCCTTGTGATAATTTAAGTATTCACAAACACACGATACAGAAATATAAAAAAAATTTATGTCAAAACTATCATTATCTTAATTATGAATTATGACATTTATTAATTTATTTTATTTATTTCTTCCCTTGTGATAATAATAATTTAAGTATTTACAAGCACACATAATACAGCAATATAAAAAAAACAATTTATGAAATATTAATTTCAAAGCTATCATTAAGATTTTTATTTTTCAAGATTTGTTATGGATTATATTATATACAATTTTATTTATTTATTTTATTTTGTAATTTATAATTTATAATTTATAATTTAAAAAAAATTTCCCTTCAAAAGATTTATTATATTAATTTTAACATTGAAATAAATGAACATGGTCATTATTATATGGGAAACTTCAAGGATCAAAATTTTAGTAATTGTACCATATACCAACCAAAAATACTTACTGCATTATGAAATATACAATAACCAACTCTATAGTATCAACCAAAAAATTGAACAAAATAATTAATACAATAACAAGGAAAAGTTTAAAACAAAAAAATAAATTGAGTAAATCAGTTTGTGGACAAAAATACATAAGGATTTCAATTATTTGATAAAAGGCGAATAAGACTTGGCCTTTTCATTCAGTAAAATGGATAGCAATTGAAATCTGCGAATTAGTTGAAGAAAGAAACAAATAGAATTGCTTGCCTTCATTGCAAAAAACCTTAGAAGCAATCCAGGAAGGGATCAATAAAGAAGGATGATATAGAAGATGAAACATGAGTAATAGTAGTAATAGTAATATTAATAATATAGAATAGATTTACATCAGAGCAACCAAAAGGTAATGATGGCTCCCCGTTGGTGGTTTCTTATTTTAACATTGACCATTTGTATCACCAAGGATTCCAGGGATCTGTTTAATAGAAATGAAGAATGTTATCTGCATTTTCATACATTGCATTTTCATATATCTATTGCTGCTATTCTTTGAAATGTCAGAAACAGAAGAAAAATGATTATTTCTAATAAAACTTTTATTATTTCTTTTTATACCTTCTAATTCAAACTAAAAAAAAAGGTACCTGTACTTATTATTTGGGGCAAACTGCAACAAAACCAAACAAAGTGAACATTGGTATTACCAAGGGATCAAAAAATTTTAACATCACAACTGTATTATTTGTCTAGACAAAAATAGTTAATATGAAACTCATTTACATGAAACCCAAAAATTATAGTATTTTGAAAAAGAACAAGGTGAAACAATTGCTCTTTATATTTTTAAAATAAATGATACTCAGACACTGGAAACTTCATTTATATATAAGGATGATAAACATTACTTACATACGGACCACACAATTACAAAGTCCCTCAACTAAAATCTGATAAATCTGATGCAGTACCAAGAATTCAAAAGATCCTTCTGAAAATGTTTTATGATGTTTAGAATTGAAATCATTGCTATTCCATAATTTAAATCTGTTTTTACAAATTTAATTTTATAATAAGTTTTATATATAGTTATATGTGAAAAGCAACAGAATCAATACTTACATTAGGCAGCACATTCTCCAAATAAAATAATGTTCCTTAAACAAAGGATCTTTTTTATTGATTTCTGGAAACTTTTCTTCAACCCTTGCTTTGATTTTGATTAAAGATGGGAACCGCAATTAGCCGCAATTAATTGAGGAACCATCTTTAATTATTCGATCGACAATTAATTATTTTATGGTTTTTTTTGTTGATGCGAATTGATTGATTTTTTTTTCTTGGAAAAACAATTTATTTTTCAATGATAGCAGCAAAACGCGAGTCTTCTAAAGAAGACGTGTTAATAACTAACCAGAGGTACTTTTTTTTTAATTTGCATTGCGTTTTTTGGTTATTATAAATCTTTAACTGAAATCAAAACGTGGGCAGATCATTGAGTAATTATAAGATCTTATCAAGATTGTGTATTTTGCTTTTCGTAATCATTATCAATATTAATAATAAATAATTACAAGAATGTCAAGGCAGCATCGACTATTGAAAAAGAGACATTTTGTCATGTGATGTTTGATTACCGGAAATTGCAGACGTTGAAGCACGTACGCTACCTTGAACACATTTACAGTCATTCACACATTCTTCGTGTACATAAGGCTAATCTTTGGCCTGGCGACCCAAAAATATGATAATGCAATTAAATTCCAAAAGGCGCATGGATTTAGAGTTTGCCAAGATTGCATCAATTGTCAAGGACATTTTCACTAATTCTCCCAGACCAGAGAAGGCCGCTGGCACGTTAGCCGAAAAGTTTCCTGCAACGATCCTGCCTCTAGATAAGGATGGCACTGAAACCAAGTCGCAACTCTAGAGGACTATTAAGAGAATCTGCAACCCGTTCAAGCGCAGGAGGTCGCAATTCAGAGCAGGGTTGGTGACCCTGAATTGCATTTAGGCTCTAATGTTAAGAGGGAAGTTGTAAAATAGTGTTTGTTTTGTATAATTATTTTCATAAATTTTCTGTTTTTTTGATACTAACCAATTTATAATTTTGGGTAGGGGTTTTTGCCCAACCAATACCCTGTCCTATAGATTAAAATTATCGCATGATTATATATATCTTTGTCAGCAATATGGACAAGAAAAAGGGATAAAATGGTTTGGATTTTGGTATGTTATGTTATGAAATTAATCATTCCAATAAATTTTCTGTTTCTTTTGATTTTTATTTGACCAACTGAACTTGTTATTTTTTAAATGGGGGCTTTTGCCCATATAATCCACCCTTGGATAAAAGAGTGTAGCTCAATGAGAGCATGTATCTCACAAGTATAAATATTGCAGTTCGATTCTGCCCACTCCTATTGTGAGAGTCACCATGATCACTGGCATCAAGGAGAAAGCTGTAAATAAAATGATTCAGATTTATTTGGTATGTTATAAATGGAGGTAGGGTTGTTGATGATTAGGCATGTCACTGACAAGACAGCAGCAACCCAGGACTCAAAACTCTGAATTCAAGGAAAATCCAAAACAACAACCCAGGTTGCAACCTCCTGAATTGCAGATTCTTCAGTCAGTTGCAGACACAAGCTTTATTTTAGTGAGAGGGCTATAACACAAAGCAAGTATCACACAAACACCAGCTATCAGCAATCAATGCCCATATTAAAGACGGGAACTGCAATTCAATTTTCATATGCCACAACCGCAACCACAATTCAATTTTTATATGCTGCAATTAGTTGCAATTAATCGAGGAGCCGTCTTTAGCCCATATGGTAACAGCCAAGCCTGGTCTGAGAGGAAGATGAGAGAAGTTTTGTCCAAAGCCTTCCAACATTGGGGACCTTCACCTGTAGTAAAAAATCCATAGTTATGGGGTGTGTTAAGAGCACCCAACCACATGTTTGTGACAGGAAAATTTAATTAAATCTGACATCTGCAATCAACATGATATTTATTATCCATAAAGAACTACAATTGATAATCAGGAAAAATAATTTATTTTGTGAACCTTAGAGATCTGGGTAGACATCTTTAATATATGACTTCTTTTAGAAAAGAATCCTTGATTTTTGCAAACAATTATATCATAATACATAAAATTTACAACCACAACATAAATTTATCATCAATTCTTCTTTTTTCCTTTTAAATTTTTTGTAATTTCTTCTAGATCTAATCCTTGCCAATCTTTATCATTTATTAAAGGTTTTGGTCTCCCATTAGCCCAAACCGATTTTGTGACAATAAAATCTTTTGCTTTAAGAGATGAACCATAATTTTCTTTTTGGTCATCATCTGAATTTGGTTCTGCAGATTCCTTCAAAGTTAAAATGGGTATATTACTTAAAAGTCTTTGATAAATTCTTCTTATAAATCTTGGTCTGGGTCTGTGTGGTTTAGCTGTATGGTATGGTGGATCTTTAAATCTTTTTGATGGTGATCTTTCTCTGATAAATTCAAAACTTGGAGGTAATTTTAATTGATCATCTTTTTCTGTTGATTTTAATATTGCATCTTTGTTTACTTTAGATAAACCATATTGTGTTAATTTGTTTTTTCCAGCTTTTAATTCTAGTTCATTTAAAACATCTTGACTAACTGGTGGTGAAACATTCTTCATAATTCTAGAATGATGCCACCATAAAATATTTGCTTTTCTACGTGGATGCAATGGTTTATGTTTCGGTTGTGGTAAAGGTGGATATAAAGATTTAACTTGTGAATTTAATAAAGCTTCTAATGGTGGTGAGATACGTGGGGGTGCTGTGCGTGGAACTGATGAAATAAATGGTTTAGGTTCAGGACTTGGAACATTTATTATTGGCTATTTTTTTTTGATTTTGATTTTATGTTTTAGTTTTTACTATATTTAAAATTTAATCTGGTTTTTGGTTTTTCTTTTTGATATGTTCTAACCTTTAATAATTCATGTCTTTTTGGGCCTCTTAATCCATATGTAAATTCTAAAATTCGCATGACCGATTTTAAATCAAAAACATTTGCTCTTTGTAATTGATATAAACACTATATATATATATATATTAATTATAATTATATTATGTATTGTTTTTTATATATAATAGGCATAAATGAAGAGTTAAAAAACCTTCCGAGCATTAGTTATATGCATTGAAATTCTATTTTCATCAGTTTCATCTTTACAATCTTTGAATCTTTTTCTTGTGCGTTCTTTAAGAAATAATCTTTTTATATAATGATAATAAATTTTATTATGATTGGTGTTTTTAAAAATGTTAATTGAAAATTTAAAAACTATTTACTTTGCTTGTTCATCAAAAAATTGTGAGGATTCTTTTAAAATTTTTTTATATAATAATAATACTTTATGTTGATGATTCATTTTTTTCGACTGGTAACACTACAGCCAGTTGCATTACATTATAAACCATTTTAGGTAAATGAAAACTTGTCTCACAACTTGAATTCATTTATGTCATTGCTTATAACTTACAATTTGTTAAGAAAAAAAATTTTCATGGAATTGTTATATAAATAGTTTAGTCTTAAAAAAAAACAAATTTAATTTATTTATTATAGGTTAAATACCTCCAGAAAAGTTATTTATTGATTAAAGCGAACATTAAAGAAATTAGTTTTTAAAGTATTGAGCAGAGGTAAATCCACCTTTGCACACTTTTCTGTAAACGAAACGAAAATCACATCAATAAAGAAAAAAATGGATTCTATAAAGATCGCAAAAGTGAGTTTTTTATCCACTCTTGTGAGAAGGTTTTTTTTTTGAAATATAATGCATAATTCAAAATTTATTAATCAGTGTTTTAACTTGGAAAAATTGGTTATATGGTCTATATATGTACAAATATATTACTGTACGCAAATTTTATTGGTTTCAGGTTGAAAATGTTATACTTGATAAAGGTCAAACAAATGTGGTTGGCACACTTCATTTAACCACTTATCAATTGATCTTTCAATTTCCTGAAAATGTTGAAGAACTCTTGTTTGTAAGTACTTTAATAAAAATAAAATTCATTCATCGATCAAAAATTAACAATATGTGTACAATTGACTCTACCAATAGGTTGTTTATCCAATAATTCACACAGTTGAATGTAGACCTCCTACAAATTCAGAGCCTAAACTTTGGCCTCTGATCATTCGATGTCGTAATTTTGTATTTTTTACATTATATTTGACATTTGAGCAAGATGCAATCGATGTTTTTGACACTATACAAAAATTAACATGTATCAGTAAGTATAAAATTAAGTTGTATATGATCATATAAAGGTTTTTTAATTAACTAATTATATTATATTATATTCAATATTGGAGAAGGCTCTATTAGTCAAGTATATGCATTCGATTATGAACCTGAAAAAAAATTTATTTGTAATGATGGGTGGAGTTTATACGATCCTTCAAAAGAATTTGCTAGAATGGGATTGACTAAAACATGGAGATTTTCTTACATTAATGAAAAATATGACTTTTGTCCAACATATCCACATTTATTAGTATTCCCATCTAAAATTAGTGATACTGTTTTAGGATATGCTACAAGATTTCGTAGTAAATCACGTGTACCAACTTTAAGTTATCTACATTGGTCAAATAAGGTTTTTTTTTTAACTTCTTTTTTTTGAGAACATAATTTAAAGGGAAAGGAGGTATATATTTATTTATTTATAATTATTAATTGATTGATTGATTGATTTTAGGCCTCAATAACTAGATCAAGTCAACCGATGGTTGGGCTTAAACAAAATAGATCCATACAAGATGAAAAGCTTATTGAAGCCATATTTCAATCAAACCTACCACCTTCAAGTAATGGAAGACAAATTTATGGCTCAACATCAACCAATTTAATTGTAGATGCCAGACCAACAGCTAATGCAATGGCAAATGGAGTTATGGGAGCAGGATCAGAAAATATTGAAAATTATAAAAATTGTACTAAATGTTATATGGGAATAGATAATATTCATGTTATGAGAGATAGCTTGGGAAAATTGGTTGAAGGTAAATAATAACAGTGATGCTGGTGATTATTATTGGAATAAAACAATAACATCTAAAATATTTAAAATATTTATTTAATATTTCATTTATTTAAACATAGTAATTCAATCAGCCGAAGCAAGTGGATCACCGATTAAAAAACAACACTTAGATAGATCTAATTGGCTTAAACATATAAGTTCATTATTGTATGCAGCAGTTAAGATTATAAAAAATGTTCACGTATATAATTCACACGTACTTGTACATTGTTCAGATGGATGGGATCGTACAGCACAATTGACTTCGATATCAGAATTATCCTTAGATCCATATTATCGTACATTTATAGGATTTCAAGTTTTAATAGAAAAGGAGTGGGTTTCATTTGGACACAAATTTAGCGATAGATCGGGGCATTTGAGTAATGAGAAATTTTTCATTAACTCAGCAGCGAATTCAGCATTGAATCGATTTTATTATAAGCAAACACATCAAAGAGAGATATCTCCAGTCTTTCATCAATTCCTAGATTGTGTCTATCAACTTTATAAACAATTTCCAACAAGGTTTGAATTTAATGAAAAGTTTCTTATAGAATTACATTGCCATTGTTATTCGTGTCAATTTGGTACATTTTTGTTTAATTCAGAGAAAGAAAGAAAAGATTATAATGTAGCCAAAAAAACTTATAGTGTGTGGGATTATTTTAATTCAGATAGAGAACAATTCATAAATCCTTTATATGATAGAGATTTTAGTGGAGAGAATGGAGAGAAAGAAAGATTTAATGGAATAGATATGGGAGTATTAATACCAGATATTAAGAATGTTGTGTATTGGGCTGGATTATTTAATAAAAAAGATGAAGAATTAAATGGAAGTACTGAATGTGTTAATTTTTACAACAATAATAGTAACGATGACAGTAGTAGTATTAATTTTAATGGCGGTAATAACAATAATAGTAATAGTAACTGTGACAGTAATAGTACTGGTGATAATACCAATATTAATAGTATTAACGATATTAGTGGAAATAATAGTATAGCTGTTAATAGAAATGACAGTATTAAAATAAATAATAACACTAATAATATTTACAATAATAATGATGATGATAGTAATAATGTTAGTAATAGTAATGAAAAGCAATTAGAATCGTTTGATTTATCAAGTAGATGGAAAAGTAATGATTTGTCAACAATGATAACAACAAGGTTATTTCTCAATGGAAATTTAAAGAAAGAAGAAAATAATGATAACTTGGTTTCTTCACCAATTAATGTTGATGATGATAATAACGGTGGTGGAAGTAGCAGATTTATAAATTTTGAAAGAGAGGACAAATCGAATGATAATAATGGTAATAATAGTAATAGTAATGGTATTGATTTTGGAGAAGAGATTAAGAATTTTGCAAGGTTTACAATTAATAATATGAAAAGTGTGGCAGCAAGAGTCAGTTTAGATTTATCATCATCTTCAAACAACAACATTAATAATAATGATGACAAATCTAATAATAGTAATAATGATAGCGATAATAATAATGGGAAGTATGATAAACATAACAATAAAGAGCTATCATCAATTTTTTCTTCATCACCTTTAAAATCTACGTCATCTTCGCCCTTAGCATCACCATCGTTAACAGCATCACCATCGTTAGCAACATCACCATTGTTAACAACATCACCATCGTTAACAACATCACCATCGTTAACAACATCACCATCGTTAACAACATCACCATCATTAACAACATCAACATCAAATTTCTCAAAAGCAAAGCGATCACCAATTACTACTACTACTATCAATACAAAAAAACAAGATTGCATTACTACTGCAGAATTACCGCATCCTCTTTACAATTCGCTTTCAGAATTTTAATAGAATAAATTAAATGTATATATAATATATATATATATATATATATATATATACACATAAAATGTATAATTATTTATAGAATTATTTTTTTATTATTATTATTTGTTGGTATTTAATATATACACGTTAAAAAAGTATTATTTCTCTCTTTCTTTCCTTCTTTCTGTAGATTATATAAATTATTAATAAAGAATCTTTATTTTTTGTATATCATTTGACGGATTTTTGTGACCAACCAACCAAAATTCAAATCGATTATCAGATATATAGAAAATTTTGGTTTTTTATGGTCGTAGTTGTATAAATATTAAAAAATACATTTTTCTATTTAAACAACAAAATATGAAAAGTAAAAAGAAAACATCAAAGGTAAACTATTATCAATTGATAAATTAATAGATTTTTTTGAGTTAAAAATTTTGAAATGAACAATTCTTTTTGGGCATAATTAGCAAGGTAAAGATAAGGGAGAAGGCAATGCAGTGAAATATAATAGTCGAATCAATACAGATGAAGTCGAGTTTCTTGACGACCGATTAAAAGACAATAGTTTCTTAGCAAAGGTAATCAATCAAATTTAATTTTTTACTCTTATTTTAAAAGAAAAAGAATAGATAAATTAATTGATAATAAATTTGTTTATTTTTTTTAGAGAGGTGCAATTGGTTCATATGGTGAAAAGGCTCATAAAGATCTTATCAAAGTTCGCGGAAAAAATTTTAGAGCACAAAAAACAAAAAAGAAAAAAGGATCATATCGTGGTGGTAAAATAGATAAAGAATCACATTCCATAAAATTCAACTTTGACGATTAATAATAGTTGATTTTTTTTGTTGTTGTTGCTTACTACGAATAACAACAATAACAACAATAACAACAATAACGATATTAACATTAACAATAGTTTGTCATTATTAATGATAATTATTATTATATTTCAGGAAAATAAATAATTTAGGGAAAATATTAGAATAAAAAAAATAAAAAAAAAAATTTTTCAAAGCTCTTAAAATCTCAATTCTTTCAATTATTGTTTATTTTACTTCAGGAATGATGGATGGTAGTAGCATCATCATCAAAGGAGGATGGAACTATGAGAAAATTAATTAAGAACGAGAAAAAATTATCATTGTTATTATTATTATCACCGGGGTTTCTTCTTTTCAAACTATCTTCTTTACACTCTGGATTTGTTGATCGAGCTCTTAGGCCATAAGATCAGTAATGGGTATTATCAGTATTGTCAGTATTGTCAATAATGTCACTCACTCTTTACATTGTATAAAATATTAAAACTTCAGTCAGTCATCAATTTCGTGTACTGTGACGAATCCAATTTAAATTATTCCTCCCTAACAAAAGATCCTCCTCAATTTCGTGGTTGAAGGGAAAGATAAAAGGCTATCTTATATGTAATTTTGTCAGAGCTACAATGTTTGTTAGTAGAAAAAATGAGGTTATCTTGGCAGTTTTTTCCATTAATGCGAATTGACATTTTATCATGAATGCCTAGAAGCAAGTAGAGTATTCCTGTTGTTGTAAAAATAGATTAATTCGTCAGTCTTAATTATTTTAAATTGAATAATAATAATTGAATTTTTAAATTTTGAAACATTTATTACTTTATAAATATGTGATTTTTTAAGGGCAGAAAGATTACTCTCAACAATAATGAAGATTAAGATACTGTCAACATGTACTAAATAGTGACAACTAAGCACGTTAGATTTCATTTTTTCAATATTGTCATGTTTTGTGTAAATTTTTTTAAGTTGGTTTACTTTTTTATTATTTTAAATTTGAACAAATAACTATTGACCACCCTTTACGTATAATTCCTTCTATACAAAAAATAAAAAATAAAATAAAAAATTTATTAGTAAAATTATATTTTGTTTTGGGAACGAAAATCTACATATATTAACATTGGTATCTTACAATTCTAACAATCTATTTCCTTTATTATTTATTGATTTCACTATCAGCTGCTTGTGGAAGTAAAGTTGAATGATTTCATAAGCAATTCATGGTTTAGCTTCAGTTAATATGTCTGAAATTCAACATATGTGTATCATCATATATTATATATTATCAAATTAAAGTTATAGCCTTCTGTTTTTAGTTTATAAGTCAAATAGACAATCTGGATTCCTTTGGTATCAAATTTCATTCATTCAATTCCACTACCTAATACAACCAATGAATATAATAATAATAATTGTTATTATTATTAATAATATAAACAATTTAAAAATAATATCAAATTAAAATATCTTTTTAAAAATCAAAAGAGTTTATTGAAATATCTATACGGTTGATGTGAAATCTGATTGTCATTCTTCAACAGAAATTTTCCTTGTATCGAAATTTCCAATTTTCAGATATTTGAACAATGATTAACATTTATTTTCGTAGGATAAACAGCCGTTGTTCCTAAAGGGTCTCCTTTTTTTTTTTGGTTGAAAAGGAATTTATACCAGATATACATACATGTTTAGCAAATAATTAGTATTTTCCAAAAATCCGTTAAATCAAGAAATCTCATTATTATTATATCGAGAAGAATTTTATTATCCATTAAAGGAAATTTGGCGTAGATTTACAATTACAATTTTTTATATTTTTTCAGTATTAACTCCGGGTGTGTAATTTGTATTGTACGATTTTTTTTTTAATATCGCCTGATCTAAAATTTCAATGGTATGATTTAAAAAATACTATTATAGTGAATCATAAAGACTGATACCAGGAAATCATTTTCCTGAATATAGAGAAAATAGGATTGTAATGAGTATTGTAAATATCAAAAGGCAGGAAGAAGGAATAAATGTTACAATGATAATCGTTCACATGTATTTTGTACTCTATGTGATGTTGCTTTATGTTTAAGCTCAAAAAGAAATTGTTTTGTAGAATATCACAGTAATAATAATTAATTTATTCGTTTTGTAATATTTAAAGTAAAAATTTGTATTCTAAACTGTTTTTTCTCCCTAAGTAACCTTGTTTATTACAAGTATCTTCGCATACTTTGCGGTTTTAGACCAGATATCACAAGATAAAACTTTAAAAACAAAAATTTTTGGATTTTTTTTGAATACGTATTTTTCCGCATTATTTATTTTCCGAGGAAAAAAAAAAAACGGTAATTTTCCGTTTGGTGGGGTCTGCACTAACTCGAAAGTCTACGCCAAATTTGGCGTAAATTTAAGGAATAGTATAGTAATTGAATATTAAAAGTTATTGGGCAAACAATACTATTAAGCTATTTTTGGTTGCTTTGTTTATTTTAGGTACAAAATGACGTCAATATGATTGATATACTATTTATACATTTCTATAAGATATAATTAAATCATATAATTAAACTTAATAAACGGTGACGTTTGAAAGAATAGCTTAATAGCGATTGCCCAATAACATCGATATTTGGACAATTTCAGTGACATCCAGGATGTCATGATATTGGCCGTTGCGTGCCCAATGTCTTATACATACTATTTGGTAAATAAAAAAAAGTTTATTAAAAAAAAAGAAAATCTCTGGTCATTACTAATAAATAACACATAACACCTCTATGTTTATTAACGAATGCCTAATTCTCTTGTTAAAATAAATATTTTTCGTGTTTTGTGTTCCAAAATTATTATCAATTATTTTTTAAAAAATGAAAGGGCAAGTTTATTAGAGTGATGTCAGAAACCATTAGTTCCAAGCTTAAAAATAAAAATAAATTTTTTTCAGAAAAAAAAGAAGCAAATTTACGAAACTTTCTACAGATGATTTGATTCAATTAGATCTTTCTCATAAGTACACACAAATGTATTATTATTATAGATCAAATATGGGACCTTTTCCAGCAAAAACAGTCTTCAAGGTCATCTGACCAAATTTGGTTTTTTTTACACGGGTGAAAATATTGGACCCTCTTTGTTTAGTAGGAAAATGGGTTTCTTTGAGTTTTGTATCGTATAACCACTTTTGATCTAATCTATAAAATTGTTTACCGGAAAAGGTCACATATTATGATTTGTAAGATGATTCAAGCCTTGAAGACTTTATTACTAATGAAAACACTCAGAATATTTAAATAACAATAATAAAGGAAGCGACACTACTATCGCATCTTCTTCAACTACTCTACCTCTTCTTAACTAATAGCACTAGCCAGATAACCAAAGAATCAATTATAATGAAGCATAAACCCATCTTTTGGTTAGGTATTGTGCAAAGTTCCACAACGTAGCAAATAGTAGAATTGTCGAATCAAAAATAGAAATATTTTATTTTAAACAAAATTTGCAAGACTTTAATGTCTGATGTGGGGGGGGGGTCAAACGCACTATCAAACCAATAATTACGCCATATCCACCACTTCCCTTGACGTAGAATGTGCACAAGTTAATGTATTAAAAAACATATTAATATTAACATATTAATCTGCAAATTATGCATATACGTAAAATATATTCGTGTCGTTTCCCGGTTCAAAATTGTAGTTGTGGCGCAGGAAAATTGGGTGAAAAAATGGGAGCTGGGCCAATAAATCTTTCGGTATGTCGATCGTTAATTTTCAAAAAAAAATTAATGTTTACATCACATAATCAATTAAAAAGGAAAATCGGAAAAGCAGGAACAAGCAGGCATGTAAATTTTGTTTCTACAAAAAGAAAACTTTACATTTACAATGATCTGCATTTATAATAATACAGACCTGATTATCTACAAGAACTTGTTAACGAATATCAAGATACAAAAGATCAAGGTAGACAAACTTGATAGGACAATTATTATAATAATGAAAATTAAATATTAATGATTATGTGATGATGATGATTTTATAGAGTCAAAATATCAAGTTCTTGCAAACTTAGCAAACTTTGCTTATGATCCAATTAATTATGATTGGCTTTTTGAATTGAATATTGTTGATTTGTTCATTGGTAATTGTTTGATTATTTATAATATTTATTGATATATTAATTAATATTGTGGATATTTCAATATTTAATAATAATGATGGTTTTATTGTTTAGATGCTTTGACTGAAAATGATGAGAAATTAAAAGAGTTTGGTATTGGAGGATTATGTAATTTATGTTTAGGTGATTAATGAAGTATAAATAATAATGATCAACTAACCATTAAATAACTATTATCGCTTAACTAATTAATAATAACTAATTTGATTTGATAAGAACAAAGAAATAAAGAATATATTATAAATAATGAGGGAATACCATTGATAATAGATTGTCTAAACAGTAATAATGAGGATATTTTAACAGCTGCAATAACGATTCTAATATTTTTATTGACACCGCCAACACTTGAAATTGCAAAAACATGTAAGTAATTAATATAATAAAATGAATATAATATAATTCACACGGTCTCATTTAATCCTGATTATTTATATTATTTATAGCAATCTTAACTCGATCTGTTAAGAAAAAAATCGAAGAATTATCAAAATCAGAGAATAATATTAGTAGTAGTAATAATAATGGCGGCATTTCTAGTAGCAATAGCATTAAGAATTTATCAATAATATTGTTAAATGATTACTTTAATAAAGATCTTGTGAATTTAGACAAATAACAATAAAAAAATGATAATATTAAAATGTATCAAAAATAATTAATAGTTAATACTATTATAACAAATCAAATTTTTTTATTTGTGTACTAACAATAAATGAATTAAATGAAAAATCATGCCTGAATTTGTAAATCCAAAAATAAAAGAAAGATATAAATAAAGATGATAGAATAAAAATCATATAGTAGACTTGTAGAAATAACGAATAGTAAAAATATAAAAAAAAATCAGATTTTTACTACGGACACATAAATTAAGGCTACACAAGTAAATATAATTTTTTTATTCAATAGTAGTAATAATAAATTTTTCACGATAGGTAATCCGTAAAGATCAAAGACAAAAAACAATAACGGTGGAAGGTACTAATAACAATATGTCACAGCTACCTGAAGGTGATGAAGGTAACGACTAGTAACTTTAATTTATTATTATTATATATTTAATTATGGTATTAATTAATAAATAATCAATCATAAAGAGGAGGAATATTTTGAACAAATGGAGCAAATGGAACAAATGGAACAAATGGAACAAATGGCTATGGATGAATTTGATGATGGACAAATGATAATAGATGGAGGCTCATCGTACCAACCTCAATCAGAGTTTATAAAAGAAAGTGGCAGAGATAATGAAGTAGGTGGTGGAGATTATAGAGATAGAGATAGAGAAAAAGAAAGAAGTGGCGATGAAAGAGAGAGCAGTAGAGGGAGAGGGGACAAAGGTGGTGGAAGTAGCCATCCTCATCATAACCGTCAACAAGGCGATGGTAGTGGTATTGTTGATAGTAGTGGCATATACGATGAAAATTTCTTTCCTAGCCCAACACATCCACATCACCACCATAAAGGTGGACATCATAGACAACAACAACAAATTGACAAATTAGTGGATCAAGAGTTTTTTAACGGTAAAGAAAACTTTAATTACTCATATTAAAAGACATATTTTTATTAAAAAAAATTTTTTTAATAATTAGATTTTCCTGATGATTTTGATGATGAAGATTTAAGTTAAATGTTAGTGCGTTGGTCTACAATATGAATATATATAACAATTTTTTTTTGCTTTTTTAATGATTCCAACAGTTATTTGTTTTTCTTTGGAAAATCAAATTATACATATTTAATGATGTTTATCAAATATAAATTAACTTTTTTTTTTTTTGCATTTCTGCCATCAATATTTAATAATAATAATAATAATAATAGTAATTATTATTGTTGTAATTATCTAAGTATTATTAAAGCATTGTTAAAGTATCTTAATCCTCACTCAATGTCCAAACTGCAAATAATTGATAGTTTTGGACATACTCTTAACAAACGATCTTTTGTTATAGCCTTTTGCTAAAACTCTTTGTTTAATAGTCTAATAACCAATTGATAATTCACCTTCGCCATAATTATCCTCTCCTCGTCTCCACAATTTTTACAGTTGTTCTCCAATTAGAACCTATCAAGACTATTATTGATTCTTTAATACAAACATTAGTCTCGATGCTTCTACCAACATCATCTTGATCAACTCTTATCTCAGCCTTAGACACGCACTCGTAAAAGCAAAATCTTTTTTCACTAGATCATTCGAGCCCTTGAATGATTACTAAACGAATTAACATACAGAATTAATACATAATATAAAAAGCTACTTATTATAACGTGTGAAATTCTAGGATTGTAACAAACTGGAATTGATGTACGTACATGCATTCGAAGTTGTTCTGATACCAACTTACATAATATATTGATTGTTTGCTAACGAATTCAACAATACTAAAATTTAATATGAAAGGATTCCACAATTGATTTCTTTTATATGCCAAAATAGAAGATAAGCAATGCCTTTCAGCTATTGAAACAAATTAGGGTCCTAAATACGATTCCTCTATACACACACACACTATTACGATTTCTAAATTTAAAACGAATGACATAATGATCACGTGACCATTTCAGATATAATTATATATACAAATGTGTAACAACATAACAAGAATTTGATGAAAGAAAGCTTGGCGCAAACTATATTTATTTATTTTTTTTAATTGCCCCACAATTTAAGGTGATTGTATTGTTCCGTAATAGTAAACATTTGTGAACAAGATCCGAGAAGAGAAAGTTTTTTTTTCTGTAGAGAACGATCGTGGTTGTTTATTTATTCGCTCATTGATCAACAACAACAATAATAAATGTGTTTTAATTAAAATATAATTCGTTAATAGTTTTTATAACTTAACAAATTTAGTAATTTTTATTTATTGAATGAGTTGGAATAAATCCTTCTTTCACACTAAAAGATTTCAAGTGCCCACGACCTTTAATTGGTACCGTCATCTTTATTATTAAAAAACAAAATTGGAAACAAAAAACTTGTTTTTTCCCTAATAATACACAAACAATATTTACTGCATTGCATACATAACTAAATGCGGTACGTGAGTAAAGAGAATTCGACAATTGGATATTGTGATCCTGCGAAATTAATCGTATGTTGTCTTAAATTAAAAGTGTGTCAAAAACAGTTTTTGTGTTTTAATTAAGGCCTTTTTTTACATTATATAACTAAACATGGAAAATTTGATAAACAAAAATAATTAAATTCATATTTTGTTCTAGAGCGAATCAAATAAAAAAATTTTTTTAAAAATCAAGTTTTTTCCTAAAACAATTATAAATTTTCCGATAATAGCGCACTGGTCCGTCCAATCGCAATACCACACAGTATGTCACTGCTGGATAAGTACCACTCCAAAAATTAAAAATATTCCATTTATTAAAAATTAAATTAAAAATTCTTTATTTACAAATTACAAATTCAAGATTTTTAACAAACATTACTAATATTTGATTTATTATAACGACAAGGGGGAGGAATAGAATGTGGTTATGGTAGTTGCAGTGGTTTCATGTTTTAATTAATTAAAAGAAAATTTTTATATTTAAAATTTTTATGCAACCTTTCATCACAGCTAACTGTTATATAAGAAGATTTAAACCATTCTGGGATGAATTTGTCCAAAAATTGGTGTCGGTTACCCTTAAAAATCACTAGTAATCACAAGCTAATGGGGTGACTTTTTTTAAAAGTCTAGCTGTTGTGTAATCACCTTAGTATGCATATGGGAAGGAAGGGTTTTAAAGATGTAGTTTCATCTTCATTTTCTTCCGAAAATGATGATATAGCTTCTTCAGCTTCATCTTATTTTTATTTAAAATGGACATATAAAAAAAAATGCTTGACAGCGATTAATATTGATATTTAAGTGAAAATTATACAAATAAAGAAAATTAAAGACCACGATCCCAAATAGGTTCTTGTAGTATTAAAGAAGTAATTATTACTGCAAGAAAGAAAATTTAGATCTAAAAAGACAAGTTTCGTTACATGTCCCAGATCCACATGAAAATTTGTAACAATGTCATCGAAAATGATTATGCGAAAACTACCATGTTGCAAGAAATAATGATCTTGGAAAAATCCAATCTAACAAATTCTGGTTATCCTAGACCTTTAGATCTATGTAACCTGAGCCCATAATATACTTTAAAGTATATTATTACAAGAGCCACTCGCAACGTTGGAGCTTATACCTTACACCCTGGACATCTTATTTACGCAGAACTTCTTAAAAATAATTAATTTGTGTAATAAAAAATTGCGATACAAAATTCTTTTTTAAAAATCACACCCGCTTGTTTAAAATATATATTTCGGATGATCTGATCTTCCTAATTATATTTTCCCACGAAACTTAAACGTCATCGTCCATTTTTTTTCCATAAATTTTTCTTTATTGGTATATTATTTATATTGTTTTAATTTCATGCAAATTAATTTATTTTTAGATTATTTTAATTTAATAAAATAAAATATTTAGAAAAGCAATTTTAATAAATAAATAGTTAAAAATTTTCTTATATAAACCCCAAATAAATTTTTTCTTTTTTTTAATTTAAAAAAAAAATTCCATATTTTTATTTACACGAATCAACAAATCAACAAATCAAATAATAAATTTATTACAAAACAATATTTTTTTTACACTTCTAATAAAAATCAAACAAAATGTATTCAACAAATTTTGAACATAACGAAACTGCCTACGGTTATAATTTAAGAGGTTTCCAAGCCTTTGTACCAAATGCTTTTGGCTCCGATCCAGGTAAAAAATACATTATGTTATATTATATGTGTTGCTTCTGTATTATTACATAATATATTAATTAAATGTTATTTATTATTATTAGTACAAATGGAACATTATTACAAGGAAATGTATGAATATGGCCCAGATCCAAGATTTCCAATTTCTCCAGCAGCGATTGCAGGTGCTGCCGCATTTAAAGTAAGCCTTTTCTTTCTCTTTTACTATTTACTATCCTTCTATCTTTCTTTCCACTAATTGTAATTATAATTATAACTCGATTATAATAAATAGGCTGTAAGAGCATTCGATTCAAAAACTCCATATAATAAAAACCATGAACAATTAATTCATTATATACGCGGAAAAGCTGTGCAAGAAACACAATATTTATTACAAAGGTTTCCTTTGCCACCAGATGTTGATCCAATAACAATAATTGTATCAGCAGAAGCTGCTGCTCATCGTCTATACGATTGTGAAAACATTAATTAAATTATTTTTTTTAGACAATTGGTGGTGTATTATTTTTTTAATTTTATTTTTTTTTTAATAGACAAAATTATTGGTTTTTTACTTTACATTAAAATTATTATAATTGCAAAACATATTTGTAAATATAAATATTCAAAAATTAATTATTAATTAATAACCAAATAAAAATTGAAATTTGTGTTTCACAAATAATTTTTGGTGATACAAAATTACGTTTTTAATTTAACAATTTATTTTGTGAAGATATTATGAACAAAATAATTTAGTAACCAATGTAATTATGATTTGTCATAAAAACAACAGAAGATTCACAAAATTGCTTTGAAAAAATAGGCTTTAAAAATTTTTTTGAAAGATGTTTTGAATCTAAAAGTTTAGATAAAAAGGAAAAAGATCTTTCCATCAAACACAATTGATGATTTTTCAACATGAGACTGGAACTTCAATTATTAATTACAAATATAAATACCAACCAACTATTAAAATAGGTGTACTAAGGTCATTTTAAAAACAAATGGTTCAAAAAAACATTCTTCAACTATATAGTTCTTTATTTTTTTAAAATTTTTCGATAGCACATTCTATTTGTATTATGCTCTCTAAATTATTCATTCTAACATGGGGCATGGGCAATAGAAAGGGGATCAACGTCAAAAATCATATTTTTGAGTTGATACTGTCACCGATTAAATTTTGGAAGAACGTATTTTTTTTAATTGGTGATAACGATTATTTTTATTTTTGTGTGGATCAGAATGAATAGGGTTCAACGAATTGATTTTGGATTAGCGAATAATTTTGGTTAAAGAAGATAAAAGTGTTAAATAAAATATTTATTTAGTTTTATTTAGTCGAAACTAATTAACTTATAACAAAGTTACTTTTACATTAGTATTAGGTCGAAATCAAGTTCTTTACATATTAGCCCGAATTGGGCGATTCCGCCCAGTCTGGGATAATCTTCATTAATCTCTACTAAATAAAGTTAAATAAATATGAATGTGCTACGGGTTAATTAATAAAAATTAAATAGACGTAACACGAATTCATATGATAATAATTATACACGTTATCAGTGTTGGGAAAATGGCTGGAACTGGAACACTGAAACAAATTTTCCAGTTCCAGTTCCAGTGTTCCAGTGACTTTTTTCTGGAACACCAATGGAACACTGGAAACACTGGAAACACCAATGGAAACACTGGAAACACTGGAACCAATGGAACCAATAGATTTTATTTTTTTTTGTTAATGAAAAACCAAATTAATTTTAACTTTAATTATTTTATAAATTTCTAATATTGTATTTTCTGAAAGTAATGATATGAATCCATTTGGGGATTTTGATCCAAGTTTAAATAATCTTGCTAATTTCCATTTAGCAGCTGGATGCACCTATGTTTTAACAGAATTTTTAATTCTTCTGGATCGTCATCCAAATCACTTTCATCATTAGTATCATTAAAAGTCCCATCATACAGTGCTTCAATTCCATTGTTTGATGGAAGACCTTGATTCATTATATACTGTATCTTTGGATTTATATGTGAAATATCAATGAATTAGAACTTTCAGATGGAGATGTAATAGATGAATTATGATAATTATTGTCCAATTCTGTTGTAAGATCATAAACAAACATAATAAAATATTATTAATTATTGCAATTCATCCAATGATAATATAAAATACATACAATCGGGACCCAGACACTTTACTGACACCTACTTTACCAACATGATACGTGGGGAATTCAAAAAGTTTTGACACAATGCAATTATCTTGATGTTCCTCAAATGTTTCCTATTTTGAGAATAACCATTTTAAAGCTTGAGTGACATCCAATAAATGATAAAAAATTTGGTACAACTTGATTTGACAGTTATAGAGAAATCAATTTTTAAATATTACCTATGGAAAATACTACATGTGAAAACCAATGATACTATATCTGGGTATGCTGGAAGAATGGTAAAGATGTTACTGACGTTCATAGAGAATTGGTTACTGCTGAAGGGAGCAAAGCACTATCCAAACGTATGATTTACTGCTGGATTGAAGCATTTGAAGCTGGACAATTAAGCATTGAAGATGCACCTTGTTCTGGACATCCCTGTGATGCTGTCACACCTTCAAATATTAATATTATTGAAGACCTTATAAATAATGACCCCCATATTACAATTGATAGTATTCTGCGAGTAGTTCCAATCTCAATTGGAAGCATTGAAACCATCTTGCATGAAGAAATTTCCATTAGAAAGGTGTGTGCAAAATGGGTTCCTCATACTCTTACATGTATATGATGATATTTTTATTAAATATCACATAAAAATATTTCATCTATCTTGTCTCCTGTTACAGGCATTAAATTGTCATCAGGTAAATTTATCCATTCTCGTAAATCTTCAGTATTGTCATCTGAAGGAAATAAAAGAACAAATTTTTTTCTGAATTTTTTCTTGTTCAATAAATTTGTTTCTTATAACCACAAAAAAATTAAGATTTTTGTATAGCACATGATAGATTCAAAAGAAAAAGGAATTACACACAAAGCTAATTCTATTGCTAAATACTTTTTTTTATCAATAAGTGACATAAAAAATAATGTTAATCAGTCTCTGATTGCTTGAATACTATATGTCCTCACTTGTTTAGCATCATCAATTGAACAATCAAAGTTATTCTGCATAAATTACAAACAGCCATCACAAGTAATTTTTTGACATCCCTGATGGTGTGTTTTTTGTCATGTTTATAAGGTGGCCCAGACACCTCCACATATAAAATTTCCATTGCATCTGTTAATCTCAAAACTAACAAATCAGTTTTTTGAAGTCTCATCATCAGGAAAATTTCCCCATATCCATAAATTTTAATATGTAAAGTTGTAATATTTGCATAAAAAATTATGTAATATTTATACTCGATGTAATAATTGCATAATTTTTGTATGCTTATTTGCATAATATTACAGGGCCCACCACAAACCTAAGTAAATAGTGTAATAATTACATAAATCCATGTCAGAAAAAATTTCCTGATGCATATCAATCATGTTGCTCGCATTTTTTAATGATTTGACATCCTTTTCAATCTACTCATATTTCACATCAGGAAATGCATTTCTGAATGCACAAAGAATCGGTGAAAGGCATTCAACAATGTACAATCTTTCAGACATACACTCACCTCCCAAAAGTCATGGACCACCCCAAAAAAAAATTTTTTTTATTAATATTTTGTAGAGCCACCATTA